CTCTTCAGAGAGCAATCTCGTAAAGCCGCGTGTGTACGGCGCGGTCGACGCGCAGAGGCGAGAAGAATATAGGATATTTTCTGAAGGACGGCGAGAGAGAAGGAGTGGAGCGATATTTTCATCGCGCGTAAAGCTGCAAATCCCATTTTACGTGATAAAAGTGCACTCGAACGGAAACGTTATTAACGCCTTCTCGATCGCATCGTCAAAGGACCGACGATTAATCGAATAAATTATACGGATTTCGTGATTTCAGCCCGAAGAATTTCAAATATCGGGAGCGAAGAAATTAATGTCACGGCACGCTCCTCTCAGAGCGATCTGAGAACTAAACGAGGGCTCTTTATACAAATCTTTAGGGAAATCATATAACCGAAGCTCCAGATGGCTTTATTGATTCGCCTCTACGTTTATTCGTGATAATTAAATCTCGGCTTTGCGCGGGCGAAGACAGAATTTGTAAAATTGTCAAACTATATGAAGAGCCATTTCGCGCAGCAATCACTGTAGAGATCTAGTTTTATTTAACATGACTTCTTTTTTTTCGAGGTCGAGAGGACGAAGCTTCGTCCCGCTCGAGCGCACTTGCTCGCGTCGTCGATCGCGCGCGATTTCTTTCCCATAATCGAGACGACGAGGGAGCACTTGCTCTCGTCACCTCGTCGTTCAGGTTCGAGAACCTGACTAGTCAGCTTCGTCCTGGAAGTCGAGCAACGTCGGTGATTCCATTGAGAGACGCCGACGCGTGCACCACGCATTCGCCCGTGCACATGCATATGCATACGCTCGTGTCCAGAGCGAAACCACCGGAGAGGTTCTCGATCCGGTGCAACAAGCGCACGCGGTATATCGATCGGTGCGTTTGCCGCGCGCCGATGCGCACGTTATGCGCGGAATCTGTGGGCGACGAAATTCAGAAACGATCGACGAAAATCATTCATTCATCTATTTGACGGTATATTTGAAATTTTCTCCGATATAAAAATCGTAAGCAAATTGCTATTAATATTCTCCTATATTTTTGTGAGAAAAAAATTGATTTTGAATTAGTTAAGGCACAATCAAAATAGATATTTCTTATTATTAATATATTAAAGCGATAACTATTTTTATTCTTTTTTAATACATAATCAGCTATTGCACACGCGACTTTCCGACACTCGTCCGCTGTTCGAATAAATAACGCGAGACGGACGAGCGACTGTTCAAACGCATCCATCAAACGCAGACGGCGATGACGCGAAATGGCGAGATTGCCTTAGTCGACTCGGCGAACGCGAAAAAAAAAAAAAAAAGAGACGCGTTCATCTGTGACATCGTCTCTCTTTCGCGCGCGCACAGATTCCGCCTGTCGGAAAACGAATTTCGTGCAATCTGTTCCGCGTTTGCCCGTCGACGCATCGACCGCATCGGCCAACAACGCAGCCAACGACATCGTACTATACGAGAGAATAAATAAATAAACTTTGCCTTTTTCTCCTACGGGTCAATGCACAGGGATTGGGGTTAAAGAGGTCGGTGACGACGCTCCGCGGCGGGACGCTTGGCTACGCGGAAATCGTCGCCCTCAAGGTAAACCGGCCTCCTCCTCCTCGGAAGGCGCGACACGCTTCTCGGTGTCGCGATCCGGACGGACGTTTTCCACTTTCCTCCCTCCCGATCGCCCTCGCTGTTTCTTTCCCCGTCTCATCTCATCATCATCGTCACCGTATTGTCGTCGTTGCTTCTTCTCTTCTTCTTTTCACCCCTCTCCCGCTATCCACCCCGTCTCTCCCTTTGTTATATCATCTCTGTCAATTTTGTGATCCGCGTGCAGGAATCCGCGCGTCGTCGCATACATCCCGGATGCGCGACAGGTCGGATCTCGTCCCAATCGTTCTCTAGCTAGTCGTTGCCTCGTACGGTGCTTTCGGTGTAGCGTTCTCTCGTTGGTTTATACAAAATAAAGCGCGCCGTCGATGCTCGATCGTCGAATCGGGCTCACTTTCATCGCGATCGTTGATTTCTCGATTCTCTGATTTAATACGGTCTCGAATTGCCTTGAAACGTAAAATATAGGGTAAGTAAAAACAACGTATAATCGAGACTGTATCGGCAAACATTTGCATTATACATTGATACCGAATAATAAAGAAATCACTGTGAATGATCGATGGCATCGGCGACGCGCTTTCTCACTTTGGTTTTTGGTTGGTAATGGTGTTTACTTTAAGTTACAGTATTTAGGTATATCTCTGGGCATGCCTTGGATTCATAGGCCCTTGACACGCTTCCCGCCCGAATAAGATCACACACATCTTCCCCTCTTACACTTCCCTGTTTTTGTCTTGTAGCGATTTGGTTTTTTACCCGTAGTGTTGACCTACTTTTAGGAACTTCAGGAGAAAGGGATTAATATCTCAGCGCAGACCGTCATACCATTGAAAGTAAGTGTGCGCCTGCTCTTCTGGAGCTCCCTATTCCTTTGCCCTTTATCGTCGATCTCTCGAGGATTGGTGCTCGGTTTGAATTTTGCGATAGTTCAGCGATAAACTTTTAGAATATAGATTTAATCTCTCTTTTAAAAATATGTATCGATCTATTTAAGGTATTTATTTAAAGATATATATCAATATATATTATTATTCAATAATTTATATATAAGAGTCGAGTTTAATGAAAATTTATTATTTTGTCACGAAATTCGATTTCTCGGATTACATTGACATATTTAAATTGTCAGAAAATTAGCGAAAATTAATCCTGAACTTTTGCAACTTATCTTTTATTTATCGACATTTTCGAAGAGAGGCTGTCGTACGCATTTTACATTATCCTAAATCTACGCGTGAAAGTAGAAAATGCACCATTGAAACGAGCTGTCGCGCTCGCAAAGAAGTCGCAAAAGTTTCTACACCTCGGGAGAATCCCTGGGGTGATTTAATTCCTCCTTTCTCCGAGATTGCGAACTTAGTTCTCGGCCGCCACCGCGAACAACCGCGCAGGGGGCCGAGAACGTTTATTTATCGGTCGGGTAATCGAGCCGAGAGCACGCCCATCCGTGCTCTAACCACGGAATTTTATTGCTCTACGTATTTGTGCGAAAGCCTGTCAACACCGAGCCTCGAACCGAGCACCCTTCGTTCGTTGGAAGGAACGAATGAGGCGCAAGCACGGCGGAAGGAAGCTGTTCGAGCTGTTGTAACGTGAAAAACTCGAAAAACACACAACGATCGTGTCGGATCCGCCGTGCTCGCGCCATATCGACATCCGCGAGATTCTCCAGACCCTTACAACACACTCTTTTACTTTACGGTTCGATACCTCCGTTCTTTTGCCGTCTTCCTGTCACTTTTTTTCTCTCTCTTTTTTTTTCTCTCTGTCTTTCTCTCTTTTTTTTGGGGTCGTGTATAAGTTATCGCGCATCTCGTATACCATCTCGGACAATCGATCGTAATGTAGACAATGTGAAAGAAGACCGCCCGAGAAGCCGTGGGAAAAAAAAATCGCGTGTTGCCGGTATCCACTTCTCGGGCGAATGCAATTCTCGCGGAAGGCAAACACAGCCTCTCTTGGCTCGGCTGCTGCCGCTATTGCTGCTTGTCGGTGTCGAAATTCATATTTCTCGAAAGATCGAAGACGCAACGGTAGTTGGAGTGTCAGTAGCACGATATCCTATATTGTTTTCAGAGTAAGATGGAACCGGTTCCCTCTCGCGTTTTATACATCCGCTCCGCGATTTCGCTAGAGCTTTTATGAACGTCGTTCGAATTTCACAGAGTATCGTCTCGTCACTTGAAAGATATAATTTTATTAAATGCTGAATGCTGAAAATTTTTAGAATTACAGTTTTGCGATATAGAAATTTTTAGAAACTTTGCTATAAAAAGATATTTTTCAATTTACATTTTTTAATTTTATACATTTTACATTTTTGTTGCTGCATATTTGAAATTTTGCCCGGGATATTTGTGATAAATTTTCGCGATGATAGAACCATCTATTTTTGGATTCATAGAATAAAATGGAAACTATAGTGACAATGACAAAATTTAGTCCTGAATCTTGATGCCTTTATTACGGTAGAATGTTCAAAACTTTTAAGATACTTTTTCGAATAAATCTTCGGGGCGTTTGAATTTTGCATTCAACGCAGCGTATATGCGGAGCGTCAATATTATAAAAAACGTACGTCACCGAGGAATACGAAATCCGCGAACGCCAGTGCGAGAGGGGAATTTTGCGCGGGAAGCGCGGATTACGTAGTCGCGTAGCCGCGAAAAAATCCCGGCGGAAACGCGAAGGAAATAATAATAAAAAAAGGATTCGCAACGCTCGCGCACGGTCGATGGGATGCACACGTAAGGCGCGAATAAAAAATGCACGACCCCGTCCCGCATGCAAAATCGCACGCGCCTCTGCGCACCGGCGCGTGTGCGTACGTGCGTGCGTTGCATGATACACACTTTGAAGCATCTGCAGTCTATCCTATCTTTGTGGCATTATAGTGCGATGTGTGTGTAAAATAAATACCCCCTGCACGTGGATGTGTGCGCGGACGATTTATGTACGTTGTAGATGTATGTTGTAGACTCGCCTGTGATCGCATCGCAATCGCATGATCGTACGATAATGGTGTATTGATGTAGCTGTCGGAAATGAATGAGTAACTGCTGAGACCCTCCGATGGGCGCTGGCCAAGCAAAAACATTCGAACGTTTGATGTATAATCGCGAGATAATTCGCGTGATAGTTTCTCGCGTCAGATTATGTCGAGGACGCAAATCGAAAAAATGTTATTACGAGAGAATATTGAGCGTTGATTATATCAAAATAGATTAGTATTTTTGAGAGAACAAAAATTTATTTTAAAAAATGTACATCATTCTCTTTTTTGTAATATAATGATGTATTTTTTACGCGAGAAAGATTATAAGCATCTATAGTGGCTTTTGTGGATATTAACGCAATATGTTTACATGAAAATACGCGGGTACCTACCTATCTACCTACCACAGTGGCAGCGATAATGCATAAGGGTGACGAAAGTAATGAGCGGTCATGAATTACGATAGCGTTGCCCCAGAATACCGGAGGGTTGGCCATAATGAGCTAAATTTCCTTTCTCTATTCACATTGCAGCTAGAGTTACGATCGAGGAGTCGATAATGAGACGCTAACCGCACTTAATTATCCTGTGAGAGAGAATCCTATTACATCCAAATATTCGTAGGATAAGTGTGACAAGTTTGTCATTTTTATGTTCTCTCCGTTTTTTTGCATGAAATTTTGCAGACCTAAAACTAAGCGACATATTTTTCGCCGATTTAATTAGCTGTCTCGATATATCAATCGGGAATTGCTTATTGGTTATTATTATATTAGAAGATCGAGCAAAAATATTTTACTCTTTAAAAAAAAAAAAAAATAAATTTTGCTCTTCAAAAAAAAAAAAAAATTAAATTAACATATCGTCTAGAATTCCATGTACAAAAATTCCTTTAAATTCTTCAATAATATATTACGGTGAACAATTTAATCCATCTATTTTCGGATTCATAGAATAAAATGGAAACTATAGTGACAATGACAAAATTTAGTCCTGAATCTTGATGCCTTTATTACGGTAGAATGTTCAAAATTTTTAAGATACTTTTTCGAATAAATCTTCGGAGCGTTTGAATTTTGCATTCAACGCAGCGTATATGCGGAGCGTCAATATTATAAAAAACGTACGTCACCGAGGAATACGAAATCCGCGAACGCCAGTGCGAGAGGGGAATTTTGCGCGGGAAGCGCGGATTACGTAGTCGCGTAGCCGCGAAAAAATCCCGGCGGAAACGCGAAGGAAATAATAATAAAAAAAGGATTCGCAACGCTCGCGCACGGCCGATGGGATGCACACGTAAGGCGCGAATAAAAAATGCACGACCCCGTCCCGCATGCAAAATCGCACGCGCCTCTGCGCACCGGCGCGTGTGCGTACGTGCGTGCGTTGCATGATACACACTTTGAAGCATCTGCAGTCTATCCTATCTTTGTGGCATTATAGTGCGATGTGTGTGTAAAATAAATACCCCCTGCACGTGGATGTGTGCGCGGACGATTTATGTACGTTGTAGATGTATGTTGTAGACTCGCCTGTGATCGCATCGCAATCGCATGATCGTACGATAATGGTGTATTGATGTAGCTGTCGGAAATGAATGAGTAACTGCTGAGACCCTCCGATGGGCGCTGGCCAAGCAAAAACATTCGAACGTTTGATGTATAATCGCGAGATAATTCGCGTGATAGTTTCTCGCGTCAGATTATGTCGAGGACGCAAATCGAAAAAATGTTATTACGAGAGAATATTGAGCGTTGATTATATCAAAATAGATTAGTATTTTTGAGAGAACAAAAATTTATTTTAAAAAATGTACATCATTCTCTTTTTTGTAATATAATGATGTATTTTTTACGCGAGAAAGATTATAAGCATCTATAGTGGCTTTTGTGGATATTAACGCAATATGTTTACATGAAAATACGCGGGTACCTACCTATCTACCTACCACAGTGGCAGCGATAATGCATAAGGGTGACGAAAGTAATGAGCGGTCATGAATTACGATAGCGTTGCCCCAGAATACCGGAGGGTTGGCCATAATGAGCTAAATTTCCTTTCTCTATTCACATTGCAGCTAGAGTTACGATCGAGGAGTCGATAATGAGACGCTAACCGCACTTAATTATCCTGTGAGAGAGAATCCTATTACATCCAAATATTCGTAGGATAAGTGTGACAAGTTTGTCATTTTTATGTTCTCTCCGTTTTTTTGCATGAAATTTTGCAGACCTAAAACTAAGCGACATATTTTTCGCCGATTTAATTAGCTGTCTCGATATATCAATCGGGAATTGCTTATTGGTTATTATTATATTAGAAGATCGAGCAAAAATATTTTACTCTTTAAAAAAAAAAAAAAATAAATTTTGCTCTTCAAAAAAAAAAAAAAATTAAATTAACATATCGTCTAGAATTCCATGTACAAAAATTCCTTTAAATTCTTCAATAATATATTACGGTGAACAATTTAATCATTTTGAACTATGATTGAAATTCTCATATTTGTGTTTTCTCTTGTATGAATATTCAAATTTGTTTAATTACTCTCGGTGCAATCAAGCCCCGATTGGTTTCGGCGTATGCGAGAGACAAATTAAAAGGCATAGGCCGCACCGAAGTTATCTTTTTTTTTTTTTTTTTAAAGTGAAATATGCTGCCCCTTCCTCACGCAAAATGCGCCCGCGACGATCGCGTACATCTCCGGAAACGCGTCTCGACGGGCTATTCCGGTTGAGTTTTCATCCGAGAGGCACCTGCGCCCTCGGAATATGTGTATACATGTATACGTCTGGCACATGCATGCCGCGTGTCGTAGACCTCCATACATTGCTCGTACATTTCGGTCCGTCTGTCTGGGTACGCGTGGGTGAGAGTGCGTGTGTGTGTGTATGTGTACGTGTATGTGTGGCTCGCTGTACGCACCGAACGACGATCCATCGTTATTTAGCCCGGCCATCCAGCCGGAATCCGGAATGCATCGCGATTTCACGCAGCACATGCGTGTAATGCACGAATATTCAAGTGTACGAATCGCGAACGATGCGTTATATTATCGTCTTTCGAGCTGCGTCTCTCGCGAGCGCACATAAACACGTGTCTTCCGCGCGCGTTTATACGTACGGGGTTGCTCACCGCGCCGATGTCCCGCGGTCGTGACAGAAATTAATTGCTCGCGCTATGTATATGCAGGCTATCTCATCGCCGCCGGAAAATGTTATTCAATGGCGGACCTTCGATGAGCGCGCATTCATCTCCCCGAATGCGTTTGATGAAGGGTCTAATTAATATTTGACTGGAGCACGTACATAATATTCTATAACGCGTACTGACAGCAATATTTCTCGTTCCGTCATATTCAAGTACGGTTATTGAAAATATAATTTTAGTTATGCGTGTACTTTTTAGCGGAATTTTAATATCTAATAGAAATATACAAATATTTGTGAGAGAGATTTTATTGTCGAGAGATTTACTTTGGAAAACCGTTTGAAAAATTTTTGCACGTGCCAATTTTCGTCGAATTTTTTTTTGACAAGGAATCCGCCGTTAAAATCATTTTCAATAGGAATGAAGCAAAAAATAATTAAACATGTTTTCAAAAAAATTCTTAAACGCACTTAAAAACTTATTTTTCTCACACGTTTTGCTATGCCATTAAAAATTACTTTATTCCGGAAATAAACGCCAAGAACTGCTAAAGAAAGATAAAATATTTTGAAATTAATAACCTAACCTAACCTAACCTAACCTGCTTTATATCGTAATTTTGTCCTCGGGGTCTGACAATGGACGTTATTCTTTAATAGCTCCTGGCCGCATCGAAGAGTTTTCTACATTACATCGAAAACGAGCGCGTAAAAGTGTCCATAGACGATAGAAACGATCCTAAAAGCTATCACGAAAGTATTTTTCTACGGGATCCCGTTACCTCGAGCAACTCTGGGCGTCTCCTTACGAGGGAGCTAATGAAAAATTCTCTCGCGCTACCGAAAACTCTTCATCCGTCTTATTACAGCGTCAAAGTAGCTCCAAGTTGTGGTAATATGACGCGGTAAAAAATCTATTCTCTCCAGTCGTTATTGCTAAATCGAGGGAACGTAAATCCGCGCGAAGCAACCCCCGTACTCTCTTACGCGTACCGAGAGATCTCTCTCGTTTCCATGCACTGTTTTCTCGCGAGTTTTCCTTTTTCCTGCGTCCACCAGTCCACATACCTCTCTCTCTCTCTCTCTCTCTCTCTCTCTGGCACTCTAACTTTGTTTGCCTCTTTCTCCAACTCTCTGAGTCTAACTATTTTTCGTTCTCTCTCGTTCTTTTATGTACTTCTTTTCCGCTGTTCCGCTGTCCTCACACGCTCACCCAAGAGACCGTACACCATGGCTCTTCTTCTTCTCTGTGCCTTCTTTCTTCTCTTTCTCTCTCTCTTTTTCTCTCTCTCTCTCTCTTTTTCTCTCTCTCTCTCTCTCTCTCCCCGTCGATCCCTCGTCAGTCCGTGGCACAAACCGACGAGTACCGAGAGACACTCTTGTGTCGAGGGCTCTCGCCGGAGAGAAAAGCCGTAACGACGTAACGCTCTTGGGACGTAACAGGGAGAGCCGGGTGAACCCGGGCCGCCGGGACCACCTGGTCCGTCAGGAGCCGAGGGTCTTCCCGGACACGAGGGCAGACAAGGGATTCCGGGCGAGGTCGGCGCGCCAGGAGAGAAGGGCCCGCCCGGGCCAATCGGGCCTGTCGGTCCACCGGGCACGCCAGGACTTGTGGGTCCTAAGGTGAGTCCAAGAGATTAATTCGCGCGACCGATTACACGCTGTATCCGATTACACATCCGGTCATCCTCGTCTCTCGAGGTGTCGGGTGTCGCTCCTTTCTCAGAGAATCGAGAGCTTTTCTCAGCCACACGGTCTTCCTCTTTACGGTATGACAGGTATACCATTACGTAAAGGATGAAAATTGCATTTTTTATAAAGAATTAATAAAAGATCTATTTAGCAAATTCTTCTAATGTTACTCTCTTTTACAATATATTAAATTCCTGATACATTCTAATATTTTTGAAAACTCTAATAATACTTAGATTTTGAAAAATTCCATTAGATTTGTAAATATTTGTAAATCTTTTTTTGCACATTTTCTTGTAATAGTAATTTTGGAATGTATACAAAAAGATAGAAATGATGAAAGCGTAGTACGGATTGCAGCATAAAAATTAAAAATAGTGGAAAAGTGATAAAATTGTCTACTAAATGAAGAACAATATTGTTTCTTGTTAATATTATAGAAAAATAAAAATATTTGTGGTCATTAAAATTTCAAAAGAGAAATATAAAAGGGAAAAAAGAAATATAACATTTTAAATGTGATATTTCCACATAAACTTACCATGTTGTAAACATACCATGTTTACAAGATAAACATAAATAAATTTTATTTTCAAAAATATGTTACTCCATATCGCTGAATAAGAGATTAACTCTGAACCTATTACCAATCTGTTGATAGTATCCAGCAATAAGCAGGATAATGCGGAATTTGAGCATAACTTTATTTACTCTCGGAATTATAAAGCATGTTTTCACATATGACCGCGGGCTTGCGTGTTTCGACGTATCAAACATTCAATACTCGTGTTCAAATTCCGCAGGGAATGATTTAATATTACGAATATATCAATGCAGGATAACCATGATACATGTGGAATTATGCAATGATTACATGCCACACGCTTTCAAGTACACGCGGTTTGAAACAAATCCGACTAATCTCGCGATATTTCGGATTTTCCTCAAATTTCAACAGCATTTTCGATTTCGTTTGATCGCACGAGATGAATCTTTCAATCAGTTGATATAAAAACAAAGAGAGAGCATGCATTGTTTTTCCTCTTAAATCGAATTTTTCGAATAGAAATATTTTCACCCTATTCAAGTAAGCTTATATGTATATACATATATACGTATGAGTATCCATCGCATTGAAAAGGGTGTAGAGTTACACTGGATATTATGCACTTAATATTGCGCCTTTCAAAAGGTTACGTAACCGATAATTATTAATGGAGTACAGCAGAGCGATTATAGAACAATAGAGTATTAATTACGTCCGGCGCATTGTTAATTTAATTCAACTATAATTAATTGCATTCAAAAGCATGTTCCTGCATATTAATTAGCGATGCTTGATACTGCCACGATAGAGGATGCCATCAAACGGGATGCTATCCATTTGTTTGTTTTTTTTTTTTAGATTAACTCGTTATTCGCGTAAGATAAAATTATCGAAGGAAAAGAAAGACGTGGCACATTTTATTTTCAGAAAATAATTAACGCAATATAAAACGTGCGTGAGAATACACAAGAGAAACTATGCAATATTACATATTATAAGTGTACAAATCATCGAAAGTTTATTTTCAATAGGGTGACAAGGGTGATAAAGGCGATCGAGGCTTCACGACGACCTTGAAGGGCGAACAGTTCCCAAGTGGAGTATTCGAAGGCCCACCTGGTCCACCAGGACCGCCTGGTAAGCATACAAATGAGATAATCTGCATACAAGATAAATGATTAAACACCACACGTCGATTGTATCCCCGTACGGAATACAAAAGCTGCGCTAAATTTTTACGCGAATCTTCCGTGCAAATTATTTGTTTCGTCAAAAATTTATTCGAGCCAAGTATATATATATATATATAGCCCTTTAATCTTTAATTGGAAAATCGTGATGGAAAACCATGTTGTTTTTGCGTTATTATTTGAATGTTTAATTTTTTCTACATTTGTAGTTTCAAAAGACGTGTGATACATATTTTATGAAAACGGTACATATTTTATTTTCTCATTACCCGAGATGCTATTATAATTTCACGCAACGCAGTCAAACGCAATTGTGAGTTTCCTTTACAATTCTCTCGCGGATAGATGTTTTTCGCGATAATGCGCGAGTTAAAATACCATCGAGAGGTTATTAATATTATGATCGGGCGAGAGGATTAAATCGATTCGCGGCTCATTCGGATCGGAGCGCGATGTCATTCATCTGTGAATCGATTACCTTCACGAGCGGGCGTGTGACCTCGGGCGAAGAAAATGCGGAAATGTTTGACGAGGAAATCTTGACTTGAATGATCGTGCAATTCGTCGAGAGGATCGAGAGGCGATCGGTTGTGCGGTGGGCGTACACATGTAGCGCTCCTCGCCATGTAGTAATATATGCGGCCGTGAGCAAATCTTTCTTTACCATTCGCGAACGTCCTGCATTTTTTCTCTCTGCCTCTCTGCGCTATTCGTCCCGAACACGCGGATCGGACGTTAACCCTTCGGGAGTTGAGCGTCCTCGAGAAACATTGTCCAAAAAGCTACGCAATATCTAAATGTCATCTCGCGAAATATGTATACATAGAGTTACGAAAATATCGCATCAAAAGTTGATTGTATAAGAGAATATCGAAAAGACGAATTTTTCTCTCTCTGCGATGAAAGAAAGAAAATGAAAGAATTGACAACATATGAATTTTGTTAAACTATTATATACGCAAACGTTAATTAATTTAATCCAACATCAGAATTATATATATATCTCGAAAAAGAATTTGACAGATCGAGTTTTTCAAGAATTTGAAAGTATTAATTTTTAATTACCGCAAATTAACTTAAATTTCATAAATTTATAACGCCACGAAACATTTGCCAAGAAAAAATCGCGTCTGAGCGTAACCGAAAATCTGTAACTTACAGAGGAGTTTCTCTCTCATGACAACCCTTATACCCTCTGTGTATAAAAGATTCAATCTTACTTAAAGTTACAAGACAAGAGACACCACGTGTGCACCATTTCTCGTGAATAGCGGCAAGAGGTAATAAATGCGCAGCCCTGAGGTAGAGTATTCGCGAGCGAAAGCTGAAGAATATCTCGTCGCGGAAAAACGCGCGCAGGACTCCACGACTTAAAAAATTCCGACCCTCCAATATCTCACGACTCGGTCGTTCGTCAACGTTCACACGCCCCCGCCGTCCCGCGCTCGCAGCAGCGAGAAAATGATTTACGATCGCGGACGTATTCAGAATCCGATCTCCCTGGCTCGTAAACGGCCGTTTACAGCGCGCCGTGTTGACCATGACGTCGGATATTGGCAAAAGCGTCGCGAATATTAGTTACTGCCTCGTGACATCATCGATCCGAGAGAAACTTGCAATCGAGTGAGACCCGTCAAGATTGTAGGAAGCAAAGAAACACTTTTGAACATAGTCTCATTACGAAATATTTTTTTAATAGTTTGAAGAATGTGTCAAAATTTAATAATAGATTGAAAGAATTTATAACATTAAATTTCTCCGAAAATAGGTTTATTGAAGTCAAATGAGAAATTGAATCGCACGTAAGGTGAAAAGTAATTAGATATTATTTTTAATAGAAAGTAAAACTTTTAACTTAATTAAAAATAAATTAAAAGCAAAAATTTTGAAAGAAATTTAGTAAAAGGATCGTGGAGGTTTAATTCCTCTTTTTTCGTATATAGACTGCTTGAATTCTAGATGAGGGGCTTTACGTCAATTCGTTTTCTCCATGCAAGAAAATAATCCAGCATCGATAAAGTATAATACCGCCGATATCTCATGTCCGAAGACAAGCATAGCGAATGTTGCGAGTCCGCGATGCATTCGACGGAACGAAATTACGTGGAACGCTAATCCGTCTTTATACCGTTGTGCGACGACAAGCAAGGAACTAAGGACGGTAACATCGTTTCCGAGCATTATATATGCGCACCTGACGGAATTAACTTACCCACATATACAAATCCGTCTCGCAATTTCACGGAACGGACTGCAACGATGTAGACACGCGGAAACGCTACTGTCGATATTGTACAATGCCGTATTTTAGAATCAGCGCGTTGTACAGGGTATTTACTCTATTCGCTTATTCGATATTCAAATCTCGACTTGTGTGTGCGCACGCGAAATTTTCTAGTTGCAAAATTGGTCATTTTATAATATAAATAACGTGTAGAAGAATCTATCAGAGCTTGTTGAAATATTACAGATTAAATACAAGTACAGTGATATTTTCTACTAATATAATATCGAATATGTGTCTTTAAATTGAAATACATATATCACTGAAGGAAGATATATAAGACAAAATTTTTTTTATTTGTTTGTCAAATATAGAAGCTTCTATTGTGTCAGATTATATCAATATTATAAAAATAAATTATGGCAAATGTCATTATTAGCAAACAAAAGAACGGAAATATTATGCAGATATAGATTTGCCTTTCTTTATATTCCAACAATACAATATCTCGTTCAAATATCATTTTAATTGTTAGTTCTGTGCATCAGTCCGAATCAAAAACGCGATAAATTATAATTTAATTGACAGAGATATCGGCGATGATTGGTGGACTCGCTACAAGTGAATCCACATACGATGCTTGACAAATTATAATTTTAGTTTTTAGCCGTTTGGTCCTGATTGACTCATTACATTTAACATATTTAAAGTTCGTTATTATGTTTACTTACGTTTGATACCGCATTTACATTTTATCGCTTTAGCCAACCACGCGCAATTACTCTTCATAAAGTTCCTTTCGCATAATACTGTCGAAAAAATAAACGCCGCAGCGTTGCGTTTTTCTCGATATCGACGCGTCCAAAAACACTTTCGTAAAGATCGATCACGCGATCCGTCAAACGCCACTTAACGTGCGGCATGACATTCGATGCGGATCTTTGAAAACATCGTCGATCCCGGAAATTCCGCGCGTCTCGTTCGCGTGCGTGCGTGCGTGCGTGCGAGCGAACGAACCAACGTTACGTTCGTATGCATCATGTCTTCATCTTATACACGGCACGCAGGGCCCCAAGGCGAGAAAGGAGAATTGGGCCCGATGGGACCGCCCGGTCTGCCCGGCGAGAAGGGTGCTCGGGGAAAGCCAGGGAAGAGGGTAAGCTTCAGCGAGGTCCTCCGACCGCCGCCGATCGTCGACCAAAGCAACTCCATATGACTATCCATCCATCCATCCATCCATCCATCCATCCATTCATCCGTCTATTCACCCGACCAATCCCGTTATCCGTTGATTGAATCCGAACATGCAGAAGAAGCAGAAAGAAATTAAAAAAAAAAAAAAAGAAGAAGAAAAGATAGTTCTCGTTCAATCTGTTCCTCGATATCCTGTATCCCCTTGACCCCCGTTATCCCATTGCGTCCTGCCTCCCGCATGCTGTGTGCATGCCTTGCACGATAGAAAAACGTATATATACATATATCGGGCATTCACATCCACACGGACGTTGATAACCGCATGTCTCTTGACTTGGATGTTACTATCTGAATCTCTTATGAGCGTAGCATGATGTAATCGTAGCTTTCTTCCGTGTAAAATATAGTCTGTTTCTATACCGTGTCACACGCCTTTCCAGTATATATAATATAATATACATAGACATGGCTTTAGAGCCAGCAACGTTCCCGTGTTTTCGACGCGCGGCCCCTGATTTGATATTTCTGTATGATTATGTCGTCCTTAATTTCGCGTTTTAATTAGAGAAGCAATTCTCGCGTCGTTCAACGTCGTTTACATTCCGATTTTATCACATTTCGTTTATTTGCTCATATATGTCTCAATTTTTGAGAATATTAATCAATCTAAATTTAAAGAATATTAACCGCGAGAATTTTTTTTTTTAATTCCTATTTTTTTATGTACTAATGTGAAAAAGATGATATGAAAGAGACAGATTTTATTTTTTAACAATTATATTCACAAAAATTAATTTCGAATTAAAATTACATTCCATTCGTCTGAAAATTTCAATCATCAATCTTTTATTTTTTTTTTATTTCTTTTTTTTTTTTTTATCGATTATATAACTCTCTCCGCAGTTGCGAAGAATAATGCCGTAATTCTCCCTTTTGCGTGAAAATGTTCTTTTTGTCTCTTTCCTTGCCGCCTTCTTGGTTTCTTTTGCCCTACTTTCGAACATCGCTGACGTCTCGCGCTTTCCCACGGAATATTAGATTTTGTAATCCCAAGATCTCTCTCTTTTTAGTCGCGAAAACGAGCGACTTGGTCGCTCGTTTCTGTGAAACGCTTCGACCGCGCGCGTGCACGGCACTCCTCACGCAGTCACGCGAGCATGAGCACGTATATATCACGCCGTTACACTTGCATCGTCGAATAAGCTACAGCTGAACAGCATCATCACCGGGACGGTTACGGGCCGAGGAAAGTTCCTTCGCCGTGAAGCGATTTTGTAATCTCACTTTTCGAATGTCTACTCCTGTCGGAATATCAATATAACGTAAACGTGACAGTAAAGAAAAGAGGAAAATTAAGATTGATATCTTCTATTAAGATTTAGAAATAACAGTTTCAATATACCATATAAATCTAATTGATCGATTAATTATTTATTCCTTAATTCATTACTGAATTCGAATAAGAAAAACAATGTCAGCAAAAAAACAATGTTTTTTTTAAATTTTACATACGCATTCATATATTTAGACTCTATAGAATCACAAATAAAATTGATAAATAAAATCAAATTCAGAAAAACAATACATAGAATATCAAATCCAGAATTGATAAATTGCTTCGAAAATATTGGCTATGAAATATATTTTATACATAGATGTTATTTATATTCAAAAACATTGTCACGCAGCTGTTACCTTTGTTGCCATTTAATTCGTGAAATCGCATATATTTTCCACACATTCGATATTTTTTTACGCTTTTGTGTCGGAATTTTTCTCGCACGCTCGTGTCCGTTCTCGGAATTGCATACGTACCTCGAGCGATTGTCGTGACTCGTTTTTTGTCTCATAAAATAATAAAAAAAATATATATATATATAATATAATAAAGAATAATAGCAAAAAGAGAATAATGAAAGAACGAAATAGCAGGCAGGAAAACCGAAAGAAAAAGTAGATAGAAAAAAAAAACGTTGGTGGCAGCAAATAACACGTACGGATATTGTGGTATCCGAGGCTTCTCCTCGGTTCTGTTACCCCCTAACTTTTTCTCGTTGTGTTTTTTTTTTTTTTTTTTTTTTTTTTTTTTTTTCGTCCAACACGCGCGAGACGTCGAGACGTTGATCGTCTCCACGCTCGCACGCAGCATCACCGACAACCGGGGCTCGCGAACCGCAGGCTGTGTGAACCCGGGTTGGCAAACGAGCAAGCAGAGGGTGGTGGGCTTAAGCGCTCTCTCCTTCCGGCCGAATTACATACGCCTACGCGCCTAACATCCGTAAACTACTGCTTGGCGTGCGATACCACTCTTTCGGGTCCATCGTAAGTATACTCGTAGTTTTGCCGAGTGATCGTGACTCTCTAGGCGGCTAACTGCAAACGGCGACAACACGTGCGCATCCTTAGATGATCGCCAATCACGTAACGACATTAGTTGACACGTTAGAGATAAGATATATCGGTTAATCTATAAAAAAATTGAAGATTGTATAATTTTAATTATATATACATGAACTATGTGCGAAATACTTTGTTATAGTTGGCTTGTTAATTGATTCTATATTGATGATACATGTAATTTCCTATTACTTCCACGCTAGTGGTTGGACCGTAAATTAATGAGACATGTCAGCCTAATTTTGCCGGTCACCAGCGACCACCGTGGCATTTAACGTGTTCGAAATTGTTGACTGAAACATGATTTTGGATATAATTTTATCGATGAAATTTCGATTATAAGAAATATAAATTTCTTAAGATTAATTTTTTTCATACTGAAATGTGATTGTTTTAACCGTTTCGGTGAGGCAAAAATTCAATATTTTCGGAAATGTTACTAATAGAAAAAAAAAAAAAAAAAAAATGAGATAGTTTGCCATGGCTTAACAAAAAATATAATTCTATATACGACTTCTTCTGCTTTTCATTATTATTCTTATCGTACGTTTGTCAGTATTTTACATATTAATATTTTAGAATATATGAAGAGAGAAAGAGAAAACTAGTTATATCTTTTAATTTAAATAGTTGAAATTTGTCTGAAAAAGTTTCAATTATTTGAAAGAAGAAATTTTTCATAGAAAATAAATTAAACTTGTACATAAAGTATGATTCTATTCGATTTTCTTTTTTCCTTCTAAAATTTTATATGGAGCAATATTAATTTTTAAACATGCTCATGTGATGGATATTTAATATGTAATTAAACATAAAGTAACACCTGAAGTTCGCCTGCCAATTTCATGCATTTACGAGCGAAAATAATACTCTGTTCCATTTAGAAGTTATTAAAAAAATTCTACGTAATTTCGAATATATTTTATTTTTGCGAATTTACATTGAGCCCTTTTTTTTTGCAACGAAATGCTTAGTGTGTGGTCGCGGGATACTTTTAATGGCGAAATTTATCATGTGTAATATTAAAAACGCGATAAAATTTAGTCTAATGAATAAGAAACAAATATCTCCGTGAATTTTGCATCTTTTGACAGAAAAATATATCCAATGCGTAAAATAAATTGAATTAAGGTGCAATTTGAAAATACATGACAAATTTTAATAAATTTTTTACTGCATGAAAAATTAAAAAAAATTTCTCATATCTTTTATTCAATAAAAATAAATTGTTTTTTCTTGAAGAGGATGTTCTTAAGATAAATACATTGTTTCGTTGTTGAGATATTTTCGCGATCAACGAAAAGTTGCATTTATAATAAACGGAATTAAATGCGAAATCGACGCAATCTTGTAACGCGACAGCGCCAATTGCAAATGCAGTAAGTTTCGCGCGCTGAGAATTACCCTTCGGAGCAACTTTGCCGTTTGAACCGCGACGTTAAACTCGCGGATATACATGTCCGCTAGCGATACTTACCTCCGACTCATCGAACCGTAAAATTCGCCATTCGACCACGAAGCAAACTCGCTCGCAACTTCGCCCGTCCGCTCCATTTGCCTCTCTAACGAGACGCGGACTCGGGATTTGGATGCGCTGCGTGAGTCCCGATTGCAAAGCCGCGGCCAAGTGTACGCTTAACTACAGTCAATGTATCTACAGGGTGCTCTAAAACTTCCAAAAACATTTTAAAGACGGACAATTTGCGAAGTCGATTTCTTTCTAACGTAAAAACTTTTTATCTTTATAAAATAAATCTTTAGCCTATTTTTTTATTAATTTTAAATCGAGTTTATCGACAAATAGAAACTTAATTTAAAATTTTCGTAGTAAAATATATAACGTTAAAAATTTGAAAAAATTGGAGAAAAATTCTTGCTAAAAGAAATTGTACTCTACATTTGTCGAAGCATCTCTGAAACATATCTTTGGTTGATCATTATACTTGTTGCAACCCTTTTTGGGGGCGATATCGATCGCTTTTGACAGTATCTGTGTGTGTGTGTGTGTGTGCGTGCGTGTGTGTGTGTGTGTGTGTGTACAATTAGTTAGTAGCGATCCTCGGCGTGTAGTGTACGTAGCTTGTGTAACTAATTTGTGTTTATGTAGCGAGTAACAACATCCCCACTACTTCTCCCCCGTGTGTCGGTTCGATTCACTAATCACTAATAACCACTACTACCCCTCGGCTTGTTGTTGTGTTGAGGCTCTCGCAACCTTATCAACCGGCGATCGCAAGCGCCTGCAGGCTATCGCGTAAGTATTCCAAATCTGTCAAAGTATGTAGCTTACTCTGTCGCGATGACGTCTCTATCTACGCTCGTCTATACGCGCAATATTAATTTTTACCTATTTTTATGTAATACTTTTTTTTCTGTCTATGTGTCTTATCCCTCATTCGCCTTCTCTCTTTCTCTCTCATAATCAATCTTTCTCATATTTTTTATTAATAGAGCATTAAATTTTAATTATTATCTAAATTTAAATAAAGAGCTTTAGATTTGATTATGATATTGATTTATTAATTATATTTCAAAGTGTCTAAATTATATTGCGTAATGTTTTAACAAATGAAATTGAAAACTTTTACTGTCTAAAATTGCCAATAGATAGTATGTCGAAAATTTATGAGATATTTTCTTGCGTTTTACGAACGAAAAAGAATCTTATTAATCCAGTAGGACCGATTCTACAGGTTGTAATTATAGGGAGAATTTATATAAATCACACAGATGCTATCGCAAAGCACAAGAGAGAAAGAGAGATACTAGTGGCCTCCAAATTTCTACTAAATTTGAACCCACTAACGAATCCTTCCTAGTCGCATGAGTATTAGTAGTCGTTGTCTACGTCACAAAGTAAATATTGATGTTTGTTTAAATCACATGTGTGTTTAATTGTGTAGTGCAAAAAAGTAGCTGGACGATCTTGGTTCTGAAAATATCGAACGACAAATCATGCAAATTCAAAATTATGTTAATGAGTACACAAAAATGATTAAATTTGATCGATATTCAGTACCAAAATCGACCGACATCATCGACGTAGATCTCGAGGCACCATCCCTTCCTCCTCTCCTTCCTCTCTAAAAGAAAACAGATTAATGCTTCATTATAGAAGCAAAGAAAAATTGACAGCGCACATGGAGGACCTGGTTGGATCTGACCTTGCAGTATCATTGTAGGGTTTCAAGGGTGAGAGCGGTGTGACATTGGCGAGGGGTATCCTCGGCCTTCCGGGTCCGAAGGGCGAAATGGGCGCCAAGGGAGATGCGGGTTCATCAGGTAGATAATACCGCCCTATCGCGGCGGGAAATTGACGGGATAAACGGGAGAATAAGCGCGTCCGCTCTCTTACTTCGTGGCCAGGACACGGACTCTTCGTGGGTCCTTCCCACGAAGATTCGCCGTTCCTCGTCCTTCGTACCTTCGGCCGCGCCTCTCCCTTCCGTGCACTCGTGCATAAAAAAAATTATGACAATTCGTAACTTTCTTCACAACGATGGTTAGCAGCACAATAGCCATCTTTTTAAGCATATTTTTTGCGCTCGATGGTGATTAATGCTGCTAACCAGTTTTCAAATCGCCAAGATGTTCTTTTTTCCTTTTTGTTAAATTATATCTGTTTATGTATGATATGAGGGAAGTTAATATTCATAGTACATCAAAAATTTCTTCTAGGAAGATGAACGCCGCGAATTTTCGTTGTACGATTCGTTTCGCTTTACTTTCATTAATTGCTATTGGACTAATGACATTGCATTTTCATCTACTGATATTTGTATAATTGTATGTAAAAAAAATAGGGTTTTATAATATATATTGAAAGATCCTATTCTTTCACTTGATTATACGAACATATAAGTAATGATGCAAGTGCAATGGACACGCGGGCGTAAGATCAATTCAGAGTTTCCTGTTCAACTTTTAAAGATGTTTAATGGCAAAACGATTCGGAAAGTTCTCTCACGAAACTTGAAAACGACCCAGCGCGTTGGTCCCTGAGAAAAGAATTTGTAGCACTCCTCCCTCCCAATCTCTTTCGAATGTAACACTTCGACTTCGTCTTCCGCGAAAAATTTTAATCAAAAGTTAATAACTTTGATTTATATAATATTAATTCGTTTGTATTGAATGGAATATAATTTAATTAAATGTTCGTTTTCTAAAAAGGTCATCACACATACGATATTTATTTATTCATTGTTATATTAATATTATTGCGCATTTAGTGACAAACATTAAAGGATAATCGGCATGACAGATTTTTGATGAATGCTTTTCATAATGTCAATCAAAGTATCGGCATATAGTATATATAGATATACAAAAGATATTAATTTATATTTCATTGACTGTCACTTTAAAAGCGACATACAAACTAAGCATGAGATTGATTTATCAATACATACAAAGAACATCGCTCAATCACATTTTTATTTCGATAGACAGATGATAAATCCAGTATTGATATATTTAAAATTACCTTCCACATACAAACTAAGCATGAGATTAATTTGTCAATATATACAAAGAACATTGCTCAATCACATTTTTATTTCGATAGACAAATGATAATTCCGATACTGATATATTTAAAATTACTTTGCACATTCACACTGTTAAAAATATTTGAGAAGAGAAAACTTGCGTGTGTATATTTAAAGATCTTCAATACTTGGATCGACAATAAACATCGAGTAGGAAAACTCTCGAGGCACATAATTCTTTCGAGGCGGAATAAACACACCGGCAGTATTCCCGGCACGGAGAATCACTCGGGGCAAAATGAGAAGTCGAGAGGTAAAGATACGACAGAAGAGGAAGGCGAAGTGGCCAGACAAAGAAAGAGAAAAGGGGGAGGGGAGAGGATCCTTTCTTGCCACGCGCACGCGTTTACGGAATTGCGAGAATTACATCGATCGCTCGCGCGCGCAAATTTTATTTCGATAGACAAATGATAATTCCGATACTGATATATTTAAAATTACTTTGCACATTCACTGTTAAAAATATTTAAGAAGAGAAAACTTGCGTGTGTATATTTAAAGATCTTCAATACTTGGATCGACAATAAACATCGAGTAGGAAAACTCTCGAGGAAAATCATTCTTTCGAGGCGGAATAAACACACCGGAAGTATTCCCGGCACGGAGAATCACTCGGGGCAAAATGAGAAGTCGAGAGGTAAAGATACGACAGAAGAGGAAGGCGAAGTGGCCAGACAAAGAAAGAGAAAAGGGGGAGGGGAGAGGATCCTTTCTTGCCACGCGCACGCGTTTACGGAATTGCGAGAATTACATCGATCGCTCGCGCGCGCAAATTAATCTAACTTCGGCGAGTGAACAACCGGCATCTCATGGCCGGTAAATTCGCTTTTCAGGGCCCAAGGGAGAGACGGGAACGCAGGGCTTGCCGGGGCTCAACGGAACCGACGGCGATCCCGGTATTCAAGGACCCCCAGGATTACCGGTAAGTAGGACGCAAATGAGAAATGTTCCCCAAAATATCCTCGTCTCCCACAGTCTTCCCGATGTAATATTCAGTAGACATTACACGCAACGTGTTTCACAAAGGTGGCGAAAATTTAATATCCCTTTCGTTGTCCGAGTGTGGTTAACGCTATTAGCGTTTATTTTATGTTATACATATTATATATATTGAATTAAGGAATGCTGAGGAAGAAATTTGGTATAGGAAATTAAATTCATGTATAGCATATATTACGTACTATTTGCCATACTTTTTGCCGTACAAAGACATTTCTCACGCGTTATATTTTTCGTATAAATTATGTATTATGATAAATTAAATGTAAATACATTGTGTGCGGAATTTATTTAAAATACAAGCGAAATATTACGTTGAAAAGTTTCTCGGAATTAAGGGAGAGTAAATCTGTAATATTTTACGTATGTCGCGCTCGTCTGTCTCTCTTCAGGGAATATCCGGACCCAAAGGTGAAAAGGGTGACTACGGCGACATCGGTCCTCCAGGTCTTATGGGACCTCCGGGTCTACCCGGCCCACCGGTACGTAAATTGCCTGTAACGTCACGCTTCAACACGATTTCTCTTATCGTATATATTCTGTCTTATGCGATTTTTGCCTGTCGACAGGGCTATCCTGGGATGAAAGGCGAAAAGGGAGAGAAAGGCGAATCGGTGAGTACATTTGTCAATGTTGCTTGCGTTTATCAAATCGCATTTCATTACACACTTTGACATTAAAAATATGATCTCTCTCAATTACTTGTATAAAGAATTATATAAAAAAAGAATAATACAAGAGAATATATAAAAAATTATATAAAAATAAATAATAAAAGAGAATATAACAAATTTTATACAATGAATTATAGATGGTTATACAACACTTTGTTATATATAATTTTCAATTACATTTCCGTTTTTTTTTTTTTTTTTTAATACCGTGATATATATCGTATCGAATTGCACATAGAAAATATGATCTCATCGAAGCAATTTTGCAAAAACTAATTTTATTCGATAAATTTTGTAGCAAGATTCTGTTATCAAAGAATAATGTCAGTATATCTTTTACTGTTGATCGTTCGCGATGAACGCAGTTGCTGAAAATGCTGTACCTTTTCGATGTTATCGTATTTTCGTCACAATAACATCCGCGATAAATACGAAACTGTGGTTTCGACATGTGTTAAAAAGAATCTGACGATAGAATAAATTTTCTTTTCATGACGGGACATTGGCCTTTCACCCATAGAAGTACAAAAAGCTCAGGCGAAGACAGGTATGTGACAGTTTATGTCCAAGATATTTTCGTATCCTTTCGTCTTCGATCGTGCGACGAAAGGTGTTGCCCGATTGAGAAAGGATACTCGAAAAAACTAATGTTTAATACATCGAATAGCGTGTAACGTGATATTAATGCACGTGTAAACATGTCAAACGCACGTTTGTTTGCAGGGAGATGGCACGTTCGAGATGAATGCCGGGGAAGTGGTAAGTTATCTTGCGAATAATCTTACAAATTATATTCGCCAGTTAATATTATATGCACGATATGGAAATATGTCCCATCCGTGCAAAGAAATATCGTGAACAATATCGCTTCGCTGCCGTGTTCGAGCGGCTTTTAAATTTTCGGCCGCTATTGCGGCATCGACTTTATACCCCACTATGGCCGCGTTTTATGGAGTTATGTAACCCTTTGCGGCGATTTATGGAGATTATAAAGCAATTTTCCCGAAGCGTTATAAAAATTGTTGAGGAAAATCCATTTGTATTTTCCGCTTTTACGGTATACATTTATCGGGATCGGCATTTTTAAAAAACAATGGAAACATTTGTTTTGTTTATCGGGATCGACATTTTTAAAAAACAATGCAGTTGTTACGATATGATTACATTATATTAATGATAATAATATGATTACAACATATATCATAATAATTGTAATGGATTTAATGTACGAAGATTATAAAATCCAAAGTTAAATAAATATTTTATATTATTAATTATTATTGATTACAAACGTTCTTAATTCGTGGCATTGTCAATATATAGATAATGGGTCCGCCTGGACCTCCAGGACCCGCTGGTACTCCCGGACTGCAGGGTCCACCCGGCATCAAGGGTGACAGAGGACACGACGGCGCCAAGGGCGATTCTGTCAGTAACTATTATCTATTTGTTGATCGCGTATATCACACATAAAACGTTAAAAAAGCACGGTTACGCGTTCGTTTCGGTTACGCCCGTTACGCGATTGAAAATAAACGAGTTCTTTCTCTTTCCGGGGTTGTAAACATCGAATAACAAAATCGACCTGTTGGTGTGTCGCTATTTTGCGTACAAAAACATTGTAAAAACTTTTTAAGTGCATATGTCATATTATTTTATTGAATCTAAAAAAATATACAACGAGCTCAATTATGACCGCAATGATAAATCGTGTTATTTTTATCATTAGTTTATCCCGTGTACTGCGGTAAACAGTAAAAAAGTTAAATAATGCATTCTTTCTGAAATTTTAATTTTTTAATATTCTTTTTATCATTCATATGAGATTAAAAGATGTAACTAATTAAATTAAATGACATATATATATATATTTTATATAATCGCGATATAAGTCAAGGAAAGAACCAGCGAAGGGCGCTAGTAGACGCGCCGTAATTATTCGAGCGCCCTTCGCGAGAAAGATCGCGTTTTGCGATGTGACTCTCGAGGCGTGAAGCTATTCGCGTCGGTGATCTTTGTGAGATGACCTTTTTGCGTGCGCGACACTATCGCGATGCGGGTAAACCCGTTCTCACGCGTCGCTCTTTTTTTTTACGTTGCAGGGAGAGAAGGGTACCAAAGGAGATCCTGGTCCGATGGGACTGCCCGTACGTATTTTCTTTCCAGATTACACACGCACGCATACACGCACACACGCGTAGCTTTAAGCACGCTCTAAACGCGGATACAGGAAGACGCACAAAGACGGACGGGACGCGAATATCCGCCGGATATTCTCCGAAAGAGGGTCCTGTATCCTACAATCCTGTCTTCGCTTTTTCCGTAAAAATCACGATCCGAAAAATTCAAACGTATAACGTTCTCATCCCTTTCAGTCCGTTTTAAGTAAACTTTACCGCGATTTATGATATATTTCGAAAATAGAAACAACAAATCCTATAATGTACTCCATAAAATGGATATTATTTTTTGTATTACGAAAATCACGTCATATACAAACATAATTAACTAACGTATATCTTAAATGTGCATATAGCATTTAAAATTTCTTTTATATCACATATATTTTTGCAAGAAAAATTGGGGACTGAAAGGGGGACTATATAGAGTATTGTGGCACGTGATATAATTAACTTGAATAGGACTTTATTGCCAGAACAAAGTAGGTACACACACGAGAAAGAAAGACGAGAAGAGGTGCGTGCGCAAATGTACGAAGGTATACACAATCTCTCTGCATGATAAAACGATACAATACAAATACAAGCATAGAGGTGCTCCGAGCGGTAGCTCCAAGTTGCGACCGCCAACCTGCGTGCGGTATCGCCAAACCGTGCCAAATCGAGATATGCTGATAGGCGTTCTGTCTATCTATTTTCAGGGCCCCATGGGACTGAGGGGAGAGTCCGGAAAGCCCGGAGATTCCGGGAAACCTGGCGCCATGGTAAGAACGCGGACCTCCCGCTCCTAACGCCATCGTTACCTGGCGTTGCCGCCGCGGAATTCGCTGATAATAAGCCGATAAGTGCGTTTATATTATCGCGCGCGACAGTCACAACGTAGCCTGGCCGGCCGCCTCTCGATCGCCTCTCGAGAGAGCACCTGCTTGCGTGCGTCTTGCGTGTACATACATATATACAACAAGGACTAAGGAAGAGGGAGCGGTGTGACGGTCATCATCACGTCGAGAGTGGCGATTCGAGAGGAGGCGTAAACATCGCGCGCGACTATCATCGACATGTTTAGATCGTTAAGAATCCGATGTCCCGGAGTCAGCTGCTGGACCCCGCGGATCGGATTCTGCCATCTCTTCCCCCACGAGACGAATTTCGAATACCGTCGATCGATCTCCTCTGCCAGGCCACTGATCACTGCTGTTAAATTCAATGTTAAGGTGTTTCTTAACGTAAAACTCAACATTCTCTAGGGATTGAGACTCGAGATCCGTTACGGCCTCGGTACGTCGAGGTCGCGCGTTTTCTTCTTCGGTATCGGAAAGCGATATATATATATATATCGTTATACTTCAAACGGAAGCGTACATATTCTCTGCCCGTTCCGAAAGAATATCCGCTGATATTTATCCACGCGCGACTTCGTCGTCGCTTCGCTCGAGAACGAAGCGCAGAAGCCGAATATAAATCTCCTCTAGCTTGCGATCGTAAATTTCCGCAGCGTTTACAGACGCGGAGTGTAAATTCATCGCGATTTAAATCGCGCCGATGTCTAACGATGATGAAGACTACAGGAATGCGGAAGAAACGTCTTCCAGTGTGTTAAAATTTCGTCGAGATTGATCGTAAGTGAGAATCGCGCCAATTGGATCGATGAGCTATACAGGATGTTCGATGATTTCTCAAAAATATTTTAGGAGAGGCGTATCCCTCCCCCCCCCCTCTCTGTGATGAATTTGCGGGATTTTTAATATACATAATCAATATTTCTCTCCGTAATTTTAAATTGCACATCTTGAAATTATTGGTTACAAATTCTCGATTCCAATTCTTTCCTAAAATATCATTCTGTAAATCTGACACATCCTGTATATCTGATGCCGCGTATAGCAGAGCCGCTTATTTTGCAAAAGGCTCCTAATAAACCAGATTTGATAAAATAATGTGGGAATTTGACGATTAATTCTTAAGGGCAAAAAAAGATCGTAATGCCGCGTGTATCTATTTTAATGACATATATTCGAAATACTTTCAAAATAAATTGCTCGCTCTCGGTCTGCGCGTCACTTGCGCACGATCGCATATTACGCGTATCACACACCACCATCCGTCCTCTTAATTTACTCTACGTAACGGCTAATAGTCAGAGCCGATTGCGCCGATCGAGAACAGATTCTCGATCACAAGCGCAAATGTACTCAGAGAGTTTGGTAGACCTAAGAAAGATAAACCTTCGCCATCCCACTAAATTTTGTATCATCGGCGTGTATTGAAAAGACATACGGATTCTATTCTCCCCTGAATGAGTCATTAGCGTAAGAAGGACTCCTTTATCTTATCGAATAAAATGTAAAGCCAACGCTTTAATTATCGCACTATTTATAGTAATAAAGTAGGGTATATGATGTCATTTCACATTACGAATCATGCGTACATCATATGAAATATTCGTGAACATTCTTCGGTAATTATGCGATATTTTATTTTTGAATCGTATTCTAGAAATTTGCATAGATTTACATAAAACTTCAAGAATGTCCTTTTTTCGATCCGATTGGAGTTTGTTTAGAATAAAATACGTTTTTTTAATAAAAAAAAAAAAAAAAAAAAAAAAAAAAATAAAAAGTAATGCACTTTGAGAAGAATATCGCTCTCTTTTTTACAAAAATCAAAACCACCCGTGTCATACCCATTTTTATCCTCTGTCATAGGGATCTGGATATACATCATTCTCTTTTTACAAAAGCCGAATTTATGCAGTAACGAATAAGTGAAGCTATAGATTGATGTATAGCGCGGGACGCAGTTTTTCACCGTATAGTTTTTCCTTATTACATAATCCCAATCTCGATTCTCCGCATTGCGATTCTGTAAAAAGCCGCGGTTAGCTCCTTGGATTTCCACAAATCCAATGAATTTCAAATAAACCCGCTTCTCATGGCCACTTAAGATTATTGACATTTGCCGTGGCGACGTTTGAAATGCCCGACGCGTTTCCATAATCCGATTCAATTAAAAAGAGGACGCTCAAGAGGGATGGGAAGGGAGGGAGAGAAAGAGAAAAAAAAAAAAAAATTAAATTAAAAGTTAAATGTGTGAAGGCGTAATTATACTGATCAAGAAACATTTATCGAAAGTTAAAAGTTTAATTTTCGTCTAAATTAACATGGCAAGCCTTGAGAAACAATTTTCAGCCTGTCCCTTTGTCTGGCAAAATCCACTTCTCCGTTGTGCCCCTCTCCTGAGAATAATTCAGTCGGCTTGTACTTAACGAAAGCTCGCTCTCGCAGCATCGCCGGCGCCTAATAATAACCCGGCCATTTATCATGATTCCTCTTCGTTCTACATTTCTTCGTAGTATTCCAGTCGCATTTCACGAACCATCAAGTATTCCGTTACGTCGGGAGAATTCCGTAAGACATATTAATAGGAAAAAAAAAATAGAAAAAGACTCCTGATCGAAAACGAAAAAAAAATATAACGCACTGCTATCGTATTAAATTATGACGTCGAAGGCGAGAAATCAGGCGTAATATTTTCTCGCGATATAAATCACGGTAAATAAAAATGAAATTACATCAACATACATATATCGCAATGAAAACTTTCGTGGTTACTCGCTAACATCAGCGTGGTTTTATCAAGAGAAATCTCGGTAACGTTTCCAATTCTTTGCTGCTCGATCCAGACGCGTGTCTCAATAAAAAAAAAAAAATAAATAAATAAACTATTTTGATAATTAAATTCGCTAACAGCGGCTTTTCTCTTGCGCAGAACAGCTGGATGTGTTTTAAATCATTGCTCAGCGCTTGCATAAAGCTTGCATAAAGAAGCAGCAGCAGCGGCCAAAAAGAGAAAGAGAAAACGGGAAGAAAGGTTAGTGTATTCGCCCACTTATATTCGGCAAGACCTTTTATGAGAGTCGTGGGAAACGTTGGTGATATTGCTCACGAACATCGGTCGCGAGGAAATTTCGCGTTCGACGAACAGTAGTAGAACCGTTTCCGTGGCTAGCCGCCGCGAATAACAAGTAGGAGGAAATACCTCTCTCTCTTTCTCTCTTTCTCTTTCTCACGCCGTCTGCTCTTTCGGCTTTTCTGCCACTATCCCGTCGGGTGCGCTAAAATGCAGTATCGATAGTTTGTGATATTCTCCCGTGGAACTTTGATAAAGCCATGAGAAACACGGATATGACGTTTCTAATCAATAGAAAAGTCGGCGCGACATTCTTGTCGGTGATAAATTAGTTGTCAACTAAATGTTCATACGATGCGTCTACGATAGTCGATAATTTTGGCGAGCGTTCCTCGACGATAAAGTTAAACAAATCTCAAGCTAACAAGCTTTTCAAGAGTATTTTGCACATGCTGGAAAATCCGGAAGAATCTCGATATCGTGAAATATATGTAAGATGTAATTACTGGTAGAGATAATTACTTGGCCTATATAAGAAGGATTTTATCCGAAGTACAACGAGATGCCGATAGCGAAGCATCTTGAAAGATGATCTCAATATCTAGAAAAGGTACTATTCATTATGGAGGATAGGCGAATCGTATTATGTATGTGTTCGTACAGAAATTGATTCGAATAGCGCAAAAAAAAAAAAAATATTTCTTCCGGTTTTAAAATTCTAGTATAAAAAAGATTTTCCAATAAATCGAAAATTATTTAAGTAAAATTTTCAGGAATTGTTAATAACGAATTTTTTTGGAAAAAATTCATCTAAAAAAATACTATTGTATTTGCGTCAAATTTAACTTCGCGCGTCTATCCTCGACATCTGAAAAAATACAGAACAGAAAGAATCACGAGAATGTACAGTGTAGAATATAACGATGTGTAACGGTATTTTTTCGGTGCGCCGTCACAATCGATGTATCGTCTATTACGGATTACGAGCGACGCTAACACACTTCTAACTCTTGTGTGTGTGTATACTTCAAAACAATAAATTAAATATAGTCTAAGAGGATAATTGGACGGGAGAGCGCGAACGAAGCTCCGTCGACGACAACTCTATTTGATGACAATGACTCTCCAATGCGTGTAAAGTGTATGACGGTTCCACACATACACATATGCATACAAACGCACATCGTATATGTATACAAACGCTCAAACATGTATACTCTCGGAAACATACATACATAAACACGAAGGAACGTATGCGTGGCAAGAAATGCAGTCGCGTTTTAATGCGTAAATAAATCGACGATATGTATATAAATATACGAGGTGCTTGTCTCGAGCCTGTCGACAAAAAAGTTTCTTCACGACGCTAGAGCAAACTGAATTTTATTTTTATTAAATATCTTTGCTGATGAATATTTCTCTCTTTCTCGATATTGATGAGATAATCGAATGCGAATCGATACGGAAATGTCTGTAGTAATTATCGATCTTACGAAACATGGAGATCTACAGTTTTCTTAATGCCCCGATTCGATATAATCCCGTCTTCGACAAAATTTCGGTGAAACGAGGTATTTACGGGCAAAAATATCCATTCAGCGCGTTCGGGTAGATTTCGAAAGTTTTGTCGACAAAACTCGGGAACTCGCCTTGTATACCCATTTGTAAGTGTATGTCTGTAAATGTTAAATACAAGTAAGAAGTCCATATGTACACGTAACTGCGTGTCGTATGCAGGTATATATACACAGACAGTCATCCATTGTATATCGAAAGCCCTCTTTGTTGCAAATTCATTGATGAATTTAAAATGGATTCTTTTTTCCTGGCAAAGATTTGACGAAAAGCTAATTACGAGAAGAGTTTCTTGATATCAACGATTAAAGAGTTTTCTCCGATTGATTAAAAGTATATAAATAGCAACAGCTAATTTTTCCGATAATTTCGAATGAGTTTTGTTTAAATGAAAATGTAATTTAAACTTTATTTGTCAAATATTTGATCAAATTTTCGCCGAGCAAAGGTTGAAAGTTCGCGGAAGAATCTATAACGAGGGAGATGTTCGATAATCATAAGACGACATTCTGTGTATATATATTATATATGTAGTATATATACACATACAACACACACACACACACACACACACACACACACACACACACAATAAATCCAGACACGTTTGTCTGCGTGCGTTAATTGTTAAGGCGGCGCTCTCCTCTCTTAAGCCGATCAACCTAAGGCGATCTAATTGAATGCGTATGTGAATACTGACTCTAACATCAGTTTTGTTTTACATTGTCCCGATTAATAAACAGAATGTGCATGTGCCTGTGTCCTTTGCTTCTAAAACTGCCTACCGGAGATTAATGCTTTCTCACTTTTTCTCTCTTTTACACACACACATATATATATATAATAATCCAGTAACATAATTATCTCGCTTCTTTGCATTGTGCTACGACTGTTTGCGATCCATTGGATAAATCAATTCTCTCATCTTCTTCTATCTCTTTGTATTTGCATCTGTCGCAAGTTGCAAGTTGAAAATAGGAAAAGATTTAAAGATAAAGAAAACTGAAATTAACACGTGTTAATTTGCTGCGACCACGATGGTGGCTTTATAATCGGCGGATCGTTCAGGCCGACGATTAATCTTGCTACCTTAGAGTTAAGATTCTATGAAGGAAAAAGGATGAAAACACAAAGGCGCCAAAAGCGTCGACGCTTCGTTACGAAGTACGCTAGTTTTTTTTTTTTTTTTTTTTTTTTTTTTAATTTTTTAAGCTCCTGCTCTATACCTTCCACGAAGCCGTCCGCCCTCGATTGTCAGTATGCCTCGGTCTCGGGGATTAATTTTGATAATACGAAAAGGGAAGGGTTAAGATAATCTTGTGATGACGGGTTGAAAATGAGTTTCGAAGTTGAAACGACCAACGAGTAAAACGCGAAGCTAAACGAATCTAATTCATTACGCGCCGGCTAAGTTTCATTCGCGAAAGAAGAAGAATGTTTGCACATCGTTTTTTAAGCAGCATCAAACGTTCTCTCTATTTAGAAATGATATAGAAATTTACTCAAATTACGCCTCAAATATTTACAGAGGATCGGATATTCGTCGTAACAGGAGGAGAGCATAGAATCCAATAGAGGGCAATTTCATTACAATGAAAATCGATCGAATATCCCCCGGCCAATATCTCTGTATCGACACATCAAGCGCGACTATAACTTAATTTGGAAAATCCGAGAGTTCTCGAAACTTCACCGCGCACAGGCAAGAGTTGCGAGGTATAACCCCGGTCGACAGAGCTGCGGCTGTATTTATATAGCGAAACAGCGTGGCGTTGTGCAAATATTCTTCCACGTCCAGCTGGCATTTTTACGCGTCCCGATCGATCGACGCGACGAAGGATTAACGAGGATCCTGAAACACTCGAGGGCGGTGTTTAAAAAGAGCGTCTCTAATAATAAAGATGCCCTCCTTTTCCCTACGAGATATAGTTTTAAATCGCTGTCGACAATATTACACGCTCGATATTATCGATGGACTTTGCCGTGTATCTGACGAGGTTTCCTCTACCTTTCAGGGACCACCAGGATTAGACGGCATGAAGGTGAGCGACCCACGGGGATGACCCCGTTTTCATTATAAATTACTCCTCTTTTTATTCAGACGCGCTCTATTTCCGCATCTCGCTATCTCATTTGTCGTTACGCGATACGATCGGACCGAAATTAGATCGAGTAAAAAATCGCGAGCGTGTTCTTCCTCTACGTTGGCATACGAGAGCAAATCGAGTGTCAAGCGCACGTCAAATTTCTTCGTACTTTCAGGGTGCGCAGGGCGAGCCAGGAACGAAGGGCGAAAGAGGAGATCCGGGATTGCCTGTAAGTCCTACGCTTCATCAAGTATTTATCCGCCGTCGAATCCGATCCGTCTAACGCGCGATATCGTCCGTGTCGCTCATGTTTATCGAGCACGGTCGAAGTTTACCCAAGTATTATTCCGAGGCAATCTTGCCCTTCATCAAAAAGTAGTTTTCTGGCTTAATGATTGAATCGTACATACTTTTCTTTTTTTTATATAAGGACAATTTTTTTGTTTTATATCTAAAATCGATGTCTTTTTTAGTGACGAATTCCTCGATAAATGAGAATCAAATAAAAATTTCGATTGACGTTTTAATTTAAAATCTCACTTGCGTTGCGCGACACGTGTAACGCAAATTTGCGGATCGTTTTCCCTCTTTCCGCGATTCAATTGAATTTCAATACCGCAATCCGTCCATCGTGATCTTTCAATCTGTATTTTCCATCGCTCGAGATTCCCGAGATCGCCCGCCGAACCCGGAATCGAGTCATGTCTGAGGAGCGCGTCAAGTCAACCCGCTGACTCGATTACATCTCGAGAGAGAGAGAAAGACACGCTAACGAGTCGATCTGTGTTTGTCCCCAGGGTACCGACGGGATTCCCGGCGCGGAGGTACAGTTGGCTTTCGATTATCGCTCGTCCTTCGGCGCGACTGCGACACAATCTGACACGGTCTGACCAGCCCGGGGTAACGACGACACATTCCGCCTGATCTACCCCGGGGACTGTCTCGGAAAAAGAGAAAATAATCGAAAAGAGAATCCTCCCTTTCACTCCCTCCGTCCGATTTCAAAAAGAGAACGGAGCCAGCGTCTTGCGCCTTTCTCCCTCTTTCGTTCGAAATCCATTGTCTCGCAAACTCTTTTTTTGCTTTCTTTTTCTTGCTCGTATTGCGCTCAATCAATTGCACTCGCGTAAGAAGACTTCGTAATATCTGGAGATGCACGCATTTTCTTCGAATGAATTTTTAATACTCGACTTTGACAGTTTCTTATGAGACTTATGTGCTCCATCTAATGTTTCGATCAGATTTTTACGCGATTAATTATATATCTTTCTGTATCATTGAATATTTTCAGTAATAGTATTATTTGACATTTTGCAAAGAGCACTATCAATCAGTTTTTACGACACCGCGCGCGAAAATAATATCAGATGCGCAAATAGCTGCTGACCGATTTAAGACCGACGTAAAAGATTCCCGCGCGCAATTCCTTCGATATATATAATCGAGCTAGAGAGGGTTTGATCGAGCGATCAAAATTTACGACCGAATTATAACGGAGGGGGAAACGCGCAACTCCCTCGTGCTTCTCTCTGGAGTGTCCGGAAGGATGCTCGAGCAGTGCTCGTGTGACCGCTCGATGCGAATCAATGTGAGAGAGCATATAAACGAAAACGAGCCTCTCTCTCTCTTTTTCTCTCATTCGTATATACTCTTGAATGCATGGGAAAGTATTTGAAGGAGGATAATCCCTTTCACATGTCTGAACATACAACTATATTCGCGGGCCGCTGAGCGATATTTTTTATTTAATACCTTGCAACACTCGTTCTTTTTCCCTCTGCCTTTAGAAGCAGAAAGGTTTAAAATAACTAAATCAAAAGCACGTATACCTATTCCCTTGAATGATATTAATATCACATTTTCCACGTGAATTTTAATATGAACGGCAGACAGAAGGCATTGATGTACTTGAAAAACTAGAGAAAGCTATTAATATTTTATTAACATCCTCTTTTTAGGTCATGCTTTCAAAGATTTGAACGTAACGTTTTATCAAATAATTAAACCTAATTTTGCAACTAATAATATCTCCTCTAATTGCTCAGAAGAGATTGCTATTATAATTAAAAATGGAGAGAACTATACATTTCTCTCTCGTATCGCTGCTATTTATTGACATCGAATATTCTCGTTTATTGACGTCTCTCATATCTCTCATCGGACGCAAGAGCAATAACCAAGTGATCCACTCGAAATGCCATGCCCGTGGTTTCGGCCCGTGAATCGATAGCCATCTCCTTTCCCTCACAACTCGATAGTCGACGGTAACGGGAAAGCCGTCACTGAGATGATATACACCCGACATCGTGGTCACACGCGGCACTCGTTCTCGAGCCTCTTTTCATTGGAAAGATTTTCTGGAACGACCGTCTCGCGCGCGCGTAAAGAAAAAAAAAACGAAAAGAAAATTAACGCGGCCGAAACGACTTAAAATTCCTTTTGTGACCGTGTTCACCAATTCCAGGGACCGAAGGGAGAGAAAGGTGCCAAAGGCGAATCTGTGAGTATTGACTTAATTCGATGTATTCACGTTTCTCCAACGCCGTCAGTATCAGAGAGCCGATCCACGTTATATACATATACTGCCGCTATTCCCGCGAGGATGCGAAAGCGATCGGGCGTGATTAGATCGTCCCGTATGCTTTACGGGGGATTGTTTGCCTAACGATAACCGACAGACCGTAAGAGAGAGAGAGAGAGGGAGAGAGAGAGAGAGAGAGAGTAAGCGCGTAGTCGGATATATATGGTTCGCTTCCTAACGGATATATAATCACACGCACGTCCAGGCGAGTTAGCGGAGAAAGCTCTCTCTCGTTTATGCCGGGTTCTCGCGAGGCATTAGTCGATTGGTTTACCTTTACTACGGTAAAATCACCAAGAAATCGGACCATCAATCTAGAAACGAAATTAATTACCATCGTTAGTTTCGTAAGAGTCGAGAGATTTCTATTCCATCCATTCGATTCAGATGATATATTTTTATTATTCCGATGCTGTTAGACTGAAACGCGAGGAATTGATATAAGAACATATTTTACGCGCATAAATTTTCGGAGCGATCAAATCAAAGCAGCCCTTTCGCATCCTCGTGCATATCTTTTATTCACGACTATTGCTGCAAGCACGTCGGGGACACCTCCGTACCGCCGACACCGTCGTCGTCGTTTACGACGAGGAGACTGCGAGATCACGCAGTGTTACAAGGTTACGGAGATGTGGCGAAGGAAGCTCTCTCGTTGTAGGAAACACGGGGAGAATATCCTCACACACGTATACACACGCCTACTCCTACCAAGTTCCACGCGGTCCCTCGCGAGTCTAACACACTTTGCGCGTACATACGAATTTGTATATGCTGCCACCACCGTTTCGTGAAAGCGCTTAATGACGAGAGGCGCGAATAATGTTAAAGGAGACGTTAGACGCTCGAGAAACGAAATGTCAACGAGAGCGCTGTCGCGTCGCTTTCTCCTTTCTTGGAAATCGTCGCGATGTCCGTCAATTAAAAATGTGATCCGGTCTATCCCGGGCGAGCGATCCGCAATCAAGGTACCGAGGTGGATGGAAAAAGCCTCTTGTCTTATCAAATTATCAATCTAAAGTTTAATTAATTTAAACGACGACCCGCGACACGCTCTCCTCCGCATTTCGTACTCGTCGAGGTATTGTGCACCGATCTCACCAGTACTAGTATAATTGCATAATCCAACAATATTATGTGCCTGGCCTTATTTGCACGTCGCGAATTTGCATCGGGCGTTTCGCGCTGTCAGAGAGATGATGCATTTCGCGTGTGCGCGCAGGGGCCGCCGGGTAAACGCGGCAGGAAGGGCGACAAAGGCAACAAGGGGGACCAGGGTGTTCCAGGATTGGACGCGCCGTGTCCGCTGGGACCGGACGGGCTTCCCTTACCGGGCTGCGGCTGGAGACCACCGCAGGTAACCGTTAGCTTTATTTTTCGCTTCGAATTTTGCGGACAAAACAGATTTGAGGGAATCAAAAATTTTACACATCTCCCGAATTACCCTGAAATAGAAACTAACAAAAGATTTTTGAAAAAGCTTTTCTGCTAGATTGTAGTTGTAGCTTGTTTCTCTCTCGATAATACATAGTTATAAGAATATAATTTGATCAGATTAACCATTGTTTTTACATAAAAGATAAGAATTTCATAGGATAATTGCCAATTATGTTTTAATAATTAATAACCAATAGTAGACTTTTTATGTGAATTTTGTGAAATTGCTGACACATTCTTTGCTAGTTGTTATTGCGGGGTACTAACAACACACACAATCGTATACGGAAACTAATAATTTAATAACTTAACTCGCAATATCGAGAGAGATAAAAGGGGTAATGCTGGGGTACGCTTGGATTCTCTCCTGTATGTGCTTAGCAGGATATTACGAGCACATCGACGCCGGCGATCGACGGTCCTGAACCCGCGGAGACGGATTATGAGGAGCCGGAGGACGACTACGAGGACTATACGGATCCGAACGGGAATCTAGCCGAGCAATAATGCTCGTTTTTGTGCGCTGCCCTAATCACACTACCGACAACCAACACCAATACCATCACCACCACCACCACCACCGCCACTCTCATCACTCGTCTCATTCCGTTCTCCCAAACTAACGTGGTTCCGGTAATTGCGAATCCCGTAGTAATACTAACGCACGATATGTGTCATCGCGACAGCTCGATCTCACGTAGAGTCTTGCTTGCATTCGCCGCACGTTTCTGATACGCATCTACCTATCTATTGGCTGCAATCTCCGAGACAAAATATTGCCTTATACATATTTAATGCCTAGCGGAATTCATCAAATAGAGTTGCCTGAACTTCTTATACAGATCTATCCCTTTACGTATATACACTCAAAAAAATGTCTTGCTGATATAGGTAGATTTCTAGGTGTCACAACAAAAATTTATCGCTATTTTTTGTATCTGTTAGAATATTGTCTGTTACATATAGAATTTATAGCAGCAATATTCTAATAATATCTTCTAGAAAATTTAGGTTCCATTGCCAAATGTTAATCACTGCATTGGATAAATATGAGTTTCGATACTACAGCTAGAACGATCTTTGTGAGAAATATAACTGCCAATTATAACTGCAGCATCGAAAAATTGAGAGAAATTGTTTAAAAGAGCTAGATAGATTGGGCGCATTATACAAATATGTTATATGTGAGGATTATATATTCATTTGTTTCTTGTCGCTAATTTTTTCTGTGTACCACAGTCAAACTTTATAACAAGTATGATTGGCCTTACATGGATAGGCGCCACAGAAAAACATTCTTTCTAAATTTCACAAACAGTTCAGATATAAATTCTGTCTCTGTCACTTAGATTGATTAAATGCGAAACATATGCGATATCACAGTATTTGCTAATCATTTATGTACCTCAGTTAATTTTGCGCACCCAGAAAATTTTTGCTGTGGTTGCAATACCACTTTTTTGAGTGTATATAAAATACAAATAGCTTGCACATTTTCTATTTGCTATATTAGCACACATATGAAATCCTGCACTCATTTTTAGAATGAATGACATTTCACATTTCTAACTTTACGATATACAAATTCTAATGTACAATTATTCGCACAGAATGCAAATATTTTTAATTTCTATAAATATATTTTATTAATATGTTGATACGCGAAATTATAATAGAAGAAATTTAAAAACTCGATTTTTCTATGAAAAAGAGATAAGACGAAAACATCACGCATGCACAAGCAAGAAAATATATTTTTTTCAAGTTTATCGCTTATCTATCCGCACTCATCACCCGCTCGCTCGTTTCTCCCTTTTGCGATTTTTCTCTAAACTAGCTATTAACTAGAACTCTCGAAAAGAGATTTCATGAAATATCTAATCTAATGCAGCTTCTGCGTCTTGTATCAATTGGACGCAACGAGATGATTCCAGCAGATTTGCTTGCGAATACGATCTCATTCATAAAACAATCAATAATCGATCCTTTACGTTTTGCTTTGCAGCCAAGTGATGACGTCCTGCAGCGATGGCTGGAACAGCAGGAGGAAGAGGAAGAGGAGGAGATGAACGAGCGGCAGTGATGTTGCAAGGACAATAGCGCATTTTTTCATAAGGACTTCTGTATATCCTCCTGTTCCCGCCTCCGTCTCGTTACGACGACCGCATTACGCGAAAAAAAAAGATATATATATATATATATTATATATATATACCAAAATAATCATCTTGCCATCGAGTGTTGTAAATATGTGTACTTACAGTGTCTAGCATCCGCAGTGCGTGTACATAATTAGAGCTTGCTGCGAATCTACGTATCCCGACAAGACCGTTCGTACCGTCATCGTCGGTTCATACGGTTTATCTAGAAATGTCGCACACAAGTATACGGCGATCGATCTCCGCGATCGATACTTCCGGTTTCGAGTGCACAGCTCGCTCTCCTCGCGTGAGAAGACCGGAAAAATTCGATCCCGGTACCGAGAGATATTGGAAAGTAAGCGGACAAAGTAATCCCGGAAAATTAAAGTGAAGTGCGCGAAGGTCGTTTCGTGGTCGAGCGTGATAGTGCGATGGTACGGGAGGAAACGCATTCGCTTATCGAGTATTCGAAGTCTCCATGCGAACGAAATGAATTCTGCGGCAGCAGGCCGAAGGACATTCACCGCGGATTTAAACGAGCGATTTGATGAGATACAGACGAGGAAGGGGGAAAAAAAATTGCAACGCGCCGAGGAATTAGCTCCTAGTCGAGGCCTGAAGTGCGTTTCAAAATTTTCTTTTTCGCCACTTTTTTCTACGGGAATTTTCCTTGTACGCTATCGGCTTATTTGAAACGTGAGACGTATATGTACAGATATCTTTGAAATTTTCTTAAAATATTTATGCATCTTCAACATTCTCGCGCTTGTGATCAGATCGCCTCTTAGCTAATCTTTAGCAGAAAGACGTACGCTAATCCGTACCTGTGAAAAAAAAACGATCTTCGCCGTAAAAGAACCGTAGACTCGCGAAAAAAGAGACACTTTTTGATACAACTAGTTGATTAGCGGCGCGCCATCCCGCGTTACTCCAGTCTAGATTATATAGATTCGTACTACGCTAGAAAGTTGTGTAACGCAAGGAAAGAAAAGTACGACTGTATACACTTTTTTTTCGGCGATACTTGCGAGGTATCGTGAAATAAATCGGTAAATGTAGGTATATCTTTCTCGATGTCAGAAATGTCAGATCGCCGTGTCGAGTTCTGTTCTTTCCTTTTGTCGGGCATTTGTAGTCCCGACACGCAAATATTTTCCGTACGTCAAAACGATGTAAAAAAGATAAAAAAAGAAAAAGACGAAAAAGATAAAAGAGGTAGGGCCGAGGTGTAGCCTGTTGCAATATCGACGGTCAGATGCTACATTCGACAGACGTGTGCAGAGTGCCGACTTATCTCCGGCACATTGATCTTCCGTTCAAACAGCGTGAAATACAAACGTTATTCGCGTTTCCTTTTGAAGAAATGTATATTTAGTTAATATATATATATATATATATATATATACGAGCGCTGGAGCGCTGATTGTTAACGTTCTTAGAATTGGTAGATTTTTCCGTTAATAGTATCTTCCTTAATTATAGTTAATCTAATAATCTTGCACTTTTTATCAAAATTCAAAGTTTTTCAGAATCTTTTCTTTAGATACAAATGACATAGTTTTCCCAGAAATGGTTCTGAGAGGATTTAACTTTGATTAGATGTAACGTGAGAAGTAACCTGAGACATTCTTATCGTAGCGATATTTATTATCATTTACCATTTTGCTGTCACAATTTAAGCAGTTTGTATTTCTTGAAATACGATTGCACCTTGTCCTTCGGATAGGGTTTCGTTACCAAACACGTCGCGACGTTCTCGGGCTGTTCTATCCACAGCTTGTGCTGAATGTCGTCCTCCTTCAATTTCGAACACAGCGTCTGCAGATCGGCTTCATCGGCGGCCTATTTATATTCATATTCGTGATTCACGCTGTCGTGCTCTTTTATCGTAATTTTCTTAAGAGCGATTTATTTCGACACATTTAAACACGCGAATTCGCATCTTATAGCGATTGAGATACTTTAAACGAACGACTAGATGATGATGGTTTAGAATAATTTTCTTTGCATGCATTATATGACGCGTCGCGTTGAACGGATCTCGATTAACGGCCGGAGCTCGCGATGTTCCCGAATCATCATACTTACTTCGAGGACGACCTTGTGCATATTGTCTAAATCAGCGAGATAGGCCTGCGTGTGGGCGTCATTATAAAAGAGATGTGTAACGGCGGTGCACGCGTGACACGCCTGGGCAATCACGGCGCCCAATGGCCACTTCATCGTCTTTGAAAGATCTCCCCGCACCACCACGTATTGAACTATCCCGGACATTCTGAGAAAGATCGTTTACCTAGAGTCATTTCGGATAAAGCCGAATTCATGAAAAACAGATGGAAATGAAGGAGGAGAAAGGGGGGATTCTGGGATCTCCCGTCCCGTTTCGACGAGATCGTCTCATTCGTCTAATGCTTAAGATGGCCCATACAGGTTTCGATTAATTAGTAAGTGCCAAAAAGTATAATATTCGTACAGATAAGGATATACCGCACACACAGACGGATACTTCCGCGTATTATTTATGTATATCAAAATTGTATTATCGCCCGCAGATCGCGCATAGAAACGCGTTCGCTATAAGCGTTCCTTCGATGTTGCGGCATACGCAAGATGTATTATTTATACAAATTGTTGTTATTAAAGATAAATAACGCAGAAATAATTAGCACGTACGATACATTATGGTTTATGAGAAACGACGTCTTTATTCATTCCTAATCCCCAAGAATCGCATTTATTCATTCGCGCCAATTTATCTTTTTTATTATTTTTTTATGCAAAGTAATATAATTATGATGTGCGTTATTGAAACATATTAATAAAAACGCAAAAAAAAAGACAGAATGTTTTGACATTTTAACACCTGACAAGTGTTATATTGTTTATTATACTATATATATATATATATATATATATATATATATTTGAAAAGTATAACAATTTAAAAAAATACGTTTTATCTAAAATAAATATAAAATAAATTCTCAGTGACAAAAGCTTACCTTTTTTCGTTTAGTAATAACTTTTCGATTAATGATGACTTCAAATAATCACAATCGCCGAGAGGTTAACTTTCGTTTCTAGATAATTGTACAGTATTATACAGATAAATATAATATTCAATTTTACAATTATGAAATTTCTGATGGATGACAGAATAAATAAACTGTAATATAACCTGATATGTATATATAATCTTAGTGTATTTGATTAAATGCAAAGCAAAAGTTTATTCGCACAGATCTGTTACAATACTTTCGTCTGCCGGTAGGTAAACATCAGAGTGGCCGCCCTTTAGAAAATTTATTCCCCTAGATTCTCGGAAACTAGGATATTCATCGTTCTTATGAGAGAGAAGCCTGAGAGAGGCCACGCCGCCGTTTTTCGTGAGACCATTTTCTTAGCTAGTACAGTGGCGCTAACTAGATCCATTTTAAAGCCGGCGGAACTATATGGCCAGATTCATTTTTTGATGCCACGGTAAAATGACCGCTTTGGTGCATGTTCGTGCTAAACACATTGTGAATTAAAAATGCGGAGAAATATTATGGATTTATTAATGTTTTATTATATATAGCTGCACGTGATGTTTTGTCATTCTAGTATATATTACAACGATAATAAATTATAATTGAATTGCTTTTAATTATTTTTTTCCTAATTTTTAAATATAACGTCTAGAAGATACTTACAATAAATTGCTTTCACTTTTCTTTTATTTTTGAAAAGTATTAAGCATTTTAAACATTATCAAATCATACTTTTAATTTATATAACTTATTATTATTTTTTTTTATAAT